CAAAGAAGGCCATTACATAATGGTAAAGGGATCAATTCAACAGGAAGAGCTAACTATCCTAAATATATATGCACCCAATACAGGAGCATCCAGATTCATAAAGCAAGTCCTTAGAGACTTACAAAGAGACTTAGACTCCCATACAATAATAATGGGAGACTTCAACACTCCACTGTCAACATTAGACAGATCAACGAGACAGAAAGTTAACAAGGATATCCAGGAATTGAACTCATCTCTGCAGCAAGCAGACCTAATAGACATCTATAGAACTCTCCACCCCAAATCAACAGAATATACATTCTTCTCAGCACCACATCGCACTTACTCCAAAATTGACCACATAATTGGAAGTAAAGCACTCCTCAGCAAATGTACAAGAACAGAAATTATAACAAACTGTCTCTCAGACCACAGTGCAATCAAACTAGAACTCAGGACTAAGAAACTCAATCAAAACCGCTCAACTACATGGAAACTCAACAACCTGCTCCTGAATGACTACTGGGTACATAACGAAATGAAGGCAGAAATAAAGATGTTCTTTGAAACCAATGAGAACAAAGATACAACATACCAGAATCTCTGGGACACATTTAAAGCAGTGTGTAGAGGGAAATTTATAGCACTAAATGCCCACAAGAGAAAGCAGGAAAGATCTAAAATTGACACTCTAACATTGCAATTAAAAGAACTAGAGAAGCAAGAGCAAACACATTCGAAAGCTAGCAGAAGGCAAGAAATAACTAAGATCAGAGCAGAACTGAAGGAGATAGAGACACAAAAAACCCTCCAAAAAATCAATGAATCCAGGAGTTGGTTTTTTGAAAAGATCAACAAAATTGACAGACCACTAGCAAGACTAATAAAGAAGAAAAGAGAGAAGAATCAAATCAACACAATTAAAAATGATAAAGGGGATATCACCACCGACCCCACAGAAATACAAACTACCATCAGAGAATACTATAAACACCTCTACGCAAATAAACTGGAAAATCTAGAAGAAATGGATAATTTCCTGGACACTTACACTCTTCCAAGACTAAACCAGGAAGAAGTTGAATCCCTGAATAGACCAATAGTAGGCTCTGAAATTGAGGCAATAATTAATAGCCTACCAACCAAAAAAAGTCCAGGACCAGATGGATTCACAGCTGAATTCTACCAGAGGTACAAGGAGGAGCTGGTACCATTCCTTCTGAAACTATTCCAATCAATAGAAAAAGAGGGAATCCTCCCTAACTCATTTTATGAGGCCAACATCATCCTGATACCAAAGCCTGGCAGAGACACAACAAAAAAAGAGAATTTTAGACCAATATCCCTGATGAACATCGATGCAAAAATCCTCAATAAAATACTGGCAAACCGGATTCAGCAGCACATCAAAAAGCTTATCCACCATGATCAAGTGGGCTTCATCCCTGGGATGCAAGGCTGGTTCAACATTCGCAAATCAATAAACATAATCCAGCATATAAACAGAACCAAAGACAAGAACCACATAATTATCTCAATAGATGCAGAAAAGGCTTTTGACAAAATTCAACAGCCCTTCATGCTAAAAACGCTCAATAAATTCGGTATTGATGGAACGTACCTCAAAATAATAAGAGCTATTTATGACAAACCCACAGCCAATATCATACTGAATGGGCAAAAACTGGAAAAATTCCCTTTGAAAACTGGCACAAGACAGGGATGCCCTCTCTCACCACTCCTATTCAACATAGTGTTGGAAGTTCTGGCTAGGGCAATCAGGCAAGAGAAAGAAATCAAGGGGATTCAGTTAGGAAAAGAAGAAGTCAAATTGTCCCTCTTTGCAGACGACATGATTGTATATTTAGAAAACCCCATTGTCTCAGCCCAAAATCTCCTTAAGCTGATAAGCAACTTCAGCAAAGTCTCAGGATACAAAATTAATGTGCAAAAATCACAAGCATTCTTATACACCAGTGACAGTCAAACAGAGAGCCAAATCAGGAATGAACTTCCATTCACAATTGCTTCAAAGAGAATAAAATACCTAGGAATCCAACTTACAAGGGATGTAAAGGACCTCTTCAAGGAGAACTACAAACCACTGCTCAGTGAAATCAAAGAGGACACAAACAAATGGAAGAACATACCATGCTCATGGATAGGAAGAATCAATATCGTGAAAATGGCCATACTGCCCAAGGTAATTTATAGATTCAATGCCATCCCCATCAAGCTACCAATGAGCTTCTTCACAGAATTGGAAAAAACTGCTTTAAAGTTCATATGGAACCAAAAAAGAGCCCGCATCTCCAAGACAATCCTAAGTCAAAAGAACAAAGCTGGAGGCATCACGCTACCTGACTTCAAACTATACTACAAGGCTACAGTAACCAAAACAGCATGGTACTGGTACCAAAACAGAGATATAGACCAATGGAACAGAACAGAGTCCTCAGAAATAATACCACACATCTACAGCCATCTGATCTTTGACAAACCTGAGAGAAACAAGAAATGGGGAAAGGATTCCCTATTTAATAAATGGTGCTGGGAAAATTGGCTAGCCATAAGTAGAAAGCTGAAACTGGATCCTTTCCTTACTCCTTATACGAAAATTAATTCAAGATGGATTAGAGACTTAAATGTTAGACCTAATACCATAAAAATCCTAGAGGAAAACCTAGGTAGTACCATTCAGGACATAGGCATGGGCAAAGACTTCATGTCTAAAACACCAAAAGCAATGGCAGCAAAAGCCAAAATTGACAAATGGGATCTCATTAAACTAAAGAGCTTCTGCACAGCAAAAGAAACTACCATCAGAGTGAACAGGCAACCTACAGAATGGGAGAAAATTTTTGCAATCTACTCATCTGACAAAGGGCTAATATCCAGAACCTACAAAGAACTCAAACAAATTTACAAGAAAAAAACAAACAACCCCATCAAAAAGTGGGCAAAGGATATGAACAGACATTTCTCAAAAGAAGACATTCATACAGCCAACAGACACATGAAAAAATGCTCATCATCACTGGCCATCAGAGAAATGCAAATCAAAACCACAGTTACCATCTCACACCAGTTAGAATGGCGATCATTAAAAAGTCGGAAACAACAGGTGCTGGAGAGGATGTGGAGAAATAGGAACAGCACTACACTGTTGGTGGGACTGTAAACTAGTTCAACTACATTATGTGGAGAGGATGTGGAGAAATAGGGACACTTTTACACTGTTGGTGGGACTGTAAACTAGTTCAACCATTATGGAAAACAGTATGGCGATTCCTCAAGGATCTAGAACTAGATGTACCATATGACCCAGCCATCCCATTACTAGGTATATACCCAAAGGATTATAAATTATGCTGCTATAAAGACACATGCACACGTATGTTTATTGCAGCACTATTCACAATAGCAAAGACTTGGAATCAACCCAAATGTCCATCAGTGACAGATTGGATTAAGAAAATGTGGCACATATACACCATGGAATACTATGCAGCCATAAAAAAGGATGAGTTTGTGTCCTTTGTAGGGACATGGATGCAGCTGGAAACCATCATTCTCAGCAAACTATCACAAGAACAGAAAACCAAACACCGCATGTTCTCACTCATAGGCGGGAACTGAACAATGAGATCACTTGGACTTGGGAAGGGGAACATCACACACCGGGGCCTATCATGGGGAGGGGGAAGGGGGGAGGGATTGCATTGGGAGTTATACCTGATGTAAATGACGAGTTGATGGGTGCAGCATACCAACATGGCACAAGTATACATATGTAGCAAACCTGCACGTTGTGCACATGTACCCTACAACTTGAAGTTTAATAATAATAAATAAATTAAAAAAAAAAAAAAAAAAGATGCTCCATAACCAGGCCATACGTTAATGCTATCTATCTCCCATTCCTTATCCATGTGTTTCCCCTACTGCAGCCGGACTGTTTCCTCTCCAATTCCAGTATTCTATCCTCCTTTCATCCCTCTGCTCATACTGCTACCCCAACCTGCTCTTTTCCTCCTAACTCACCTGAGCCACGGCTCAAGGCCCCGTTTTGCCAGCAGTGCAATAGTGTGAAGATCAGAAAGACCTGGGTTCAGATCTCAGAGTTGTGATTCCCTGTGCAAACTTAGTAGTGCTATGCATCCTCTTGGAATCTGAGTTTTCTCATCTACAAAATGGGAAGTACAATAATGTCTGTTTGTTATTAGGGCTTATTATTATCATTATCAATAGGGTTATTGTGGGGAGTTAATAGTGCAGGCTCTGTGCTCAGTAAACGGTGATGGTTCTTTCTCCTCTGACTCCTTGAAATTCCAATAGGGAATTCCTGGAAGGAAGTTACATTTTGATGACATACCTATTTCGAAGGAAGTTATCTTTTGAAGAAGTACATACCGCTGCTGGTCTTTTGCTATTTACTTCCTCCACAACTCAAAAATACAAGCATTTCTGTCCTCATTTTAAAGATGAGGAAACAGCCTGAAAAAGGGAAGCAATCTGCCAGGGTCCATACAGCTAAAGCTGAGTTAGCGCTTGCTAACTGTCAGAAATAACCACAGCAGCTGTTATTAAACATTCACTATGATGAGCATATTACATGCAATATCTCATTCAAGTGCTTTATCCTGAGATCCATACTCTACAGAAGAGGACAATGAGATGCAGAGAGGATAAGCAACTTTTCCAAAGTCCTGCAAATAGTACATGGAAGGGTTGGATTCAAATGGGGGTCTGCATGCCTGCAATCCATGCCCTTGGCTACGCTGCTGTAACTGTGCTATCTGGGCCAGTGAGGTGTATGGACTTGGCACGAAGCCCTGGGAGGCTGGGACTGACCTTTCCAGATTTTTTCAGGCATCCAGCATGGCAACCACCATTGATCACAAGGTTCTCCAGGTGAGGCAGGTGGGTCAGGCACTAGCTGGATGGCCTGGTGATGATGCCGATGATGCCTCCCCTGAGCAACTCACGATGGTTACTTTGCCAGCCCTGACACTTACCCAATGGTGCAGCCGGCCTCTGCTTCGATGGTCCAGATGCAGTTGAGATTGTGTTCATAGGGAGCTGGATACCCAGGTGACAGCACCTGCCCCGACACCTCTCCTTTTACTGTCCCTCCACACTCGGCTGAAAGAAATCCCAAAAGAGTGAGCTTCACGGGGTGCCCTGAGCTGCCAGCAGTCACTCAGCGGCTCCTTTTGCCTGTTTGCTCCTGAGTCCCTCTCATTCATTCCAAGTGACTAAGCACAGCATATTAAAAAGTCCCTGGATGAGACTTATATCCAGAACCTATAAAGAACCCCTACAAATCAACAACAAAAAGATGAATAACCCAATTTTAAAAAGGCAAAGGATTTGAATAAACATTTCTCCAAAGAGGATATATAAATAGCCAATACATACATGAAAGCATGTTTAACATTGTTAGTCATTAGGGAAATACAAATCAAACCCACAATGAGATATCACTTCACATCCACTGGGATGTCTATGCTCAGAAAGACTATACAAGCGTAGGTGGGGATGTGGAGAAACTGGAACTCTCATCGTTACTGATGGAAATGTAAAATGGTGCAGCTGCTTTCAAAAACAAGTTGGTGGTTCCTCAAAATGTTAAACATAGTCACCATATGACCTAGCAATTCTGCTCTTAGGCATATACCCAAGATAAATGAAAACATGTTCACATAAAAACTTGAACATGAATGTTCATAGCAACGTTAGTCATAGTTATCAAAAAGTGTAAACAACCCAAATGTCTATCAACTGATGAATGAATAAACAAAATGTGGCATAACCATGCAATGGAATAGTATTTAATCACAAAAAGGAATCAAGGCAGCCAGACATGGTGGCTCACACTTGTAATCCCAGCATTCTGGGAGGCCGAGGTAGGTGGATTACTTGCAGTTGGGAGTTTCAGACCAGCCTGACCAACATGGAGAAACCCCATCTCTACTAAAAACATAAAAACTTAGCCAGGATGGTGGCACGTGCCTGTAATCCCAGCTACTCAGGAGGCTTAGGTAGGAGAATCGCTTGAACCCAGGAGGCAGAGGTTGTGGTGAGCCGAGATCGCACCATTGCACTCCAGCCTGGGCAACAAATGCGAAACTCCATCTCAAAACAACAACAACAACAACAACAACAACAACAACAACAAGGAATCCAGGCTTGATATATGCTACAATATAGATGGACTCTGAAAACATTAGTTAAGTGAAGGAATTCAGACACATTGTGCGATTCCACTTATATGAAATACCTAGAATAGGCAAATCTTGGAGACAGAAGGCACGTTAGTGGTTGCCAGGGCCTGGGGGAGGGGACAACTGGGAGTGGCTGTTAATAGGCATGGGTTTTCTTTTGTGGGGGACAAAATGTTCAAAAATTAGATTGTGGTGATGGCTGTACAACCCTGTGCATATACTACTCACATGGTTAGGCTTTGTGTCCCTACCCAAATTTCGTCTTGAATTGTAATCCCTAGGAGTTGAGGGAGGAACCTGGTGGGAGGTGACTGGATCATGGGGGCAGTTTTCCCCATACTGTTCTCATGATAGTGAGTGAGCTCTCACGAGATATGATGGTTTTATAAGTGTTTGACAAGTTCCTCCTTCTCTCACTTTTCTCTCTCCTGCCGCCTTGTAAAAAAGGTGCCTGCTTCCCCTTCCACCATGATTGTATGTTTCCTGAGGCTTCCCCAGCCCTGAGGAACTGTGAGTCAGTTAAACCTCTTTCCTTTACAAATTACCTCGTCTCAGGTAGTATCTTTATAGCGGTGTGAGAACAGACTAATATAATTACAAACAACTGAATTGTACACTGGTAAACAAAAACAGTCCCTGAATGGAGGGCTGATTGCCTATTCTGTGACCAACCTCCTCAAAGCCTCCTAGGGAGGAACATGCAAGTACTTCAACCTGCTTCTTGATAGCAACAGGACCTCTGCTAGCTGCCAGGACAGCAGAGATCAGCAAGATACTGCCCTCTTCTGGAAGAGTTTACCATCTAGTAGAGAAGACAGCCACACTGTGTGCTATGTGTCCTAATAGCAAGTGGTAGCAGAAGTGACCAATCTCCCTGAGCAAAGGACAGCAAGAGCCAGGGAGGGTGCTGGTCTCAAATGAACCTTGAAGGAGAAGAAAGAGTTGACCGGGTCGGGTGGGTAGCAAGGGTAGGATGGGAAGGAGGGCACTGCAGAGAGACAGAGAAGAGTAACTGCAAAGTTCCTGGAAGTGAGGAAGAGCATGGCAGGCTGGAGGCCAGGGTATGAGATAGGGAGAGGGGGGAGATGGGACTGGAAAGGTGAGGAAGCATCACAGGTTGAAGGACCTTGGATACCAGGCTGTCATATATTTCCTGTTCCAGGAAAGAACTGCAGTGTTTATATGCGTGAGTTAATAGACTGCGTGACACATCAGTGACCTTTGCATGTTAGAAGTCACTGTGGTGGCAGTATGAGGGGGTACAGCAGGGGTGAAACTGGAGGCAGGGAGGCAAGTGAAGAGGTCTACATTCCCCATCAGAGCAATCACTGAAGACAGAAGCTGGGGGTTCTTCCTGGCCTTCTCCTCCTTTCTCCCCGACATCTAATCTCCCTCTGAGACCCAGTTGTTAAACCTGTGTGATATTATTCATGTTTGACTCTACTCCCCCTACATTGCTGGAATCTTGACTCAGGCCCTCACCATCTCTAGGCTGGCACTGCTGCCCACACTCTAGGCAGTGCTATCAACAGATCTTTATCAAATGCAAACAAGTGACTGCTTGCATTCACTCCCCAAATGAAGTCTAAGCTTTTCAGTAAAGCCTACTGAGCCCACCAGAGTGGCTCCCTTTGGCCTCTCTGAACTCTTTGGTCCAGCCTGATGAAGTCCACAAGCTCTATTTGGATGGAGGACCTGAATAAACATCCTCGCTATGACACCTTTTGTGGCATACCTCCCCTCCCCAGGTAGAACTGACACTGCCCTCCTTTGTGTCTCCATTACAATGTGAATAGATTTCTATTGTAGCATGTGTAGCATGTTATTAAAATCATGTCTATTTCCTCCACAAGACTATGAGCTCCTTGGCAGCAGGGAGCTTGTCTTATATCTGCACGTCAAGTACCTAGTATACTGTTTGGCACATTATAGATGCTTAATGTTTATTGAATGAATGGATGGTTGGACAATCAAATGAATGGAAGTAGATTATTGCTTTCCATGCAAATTACTATAAGCGTCTGAATCAAGGGAGAATGAGTACAAATGAAGAGGAGGATATTCATCGCAGAGCTATTTAGGAAAAGGAATAGTTGATTAGGCAAGATGCTAGAAATAGAAGAAGGGATCAGGGTCACAGATGGAAGACTGACCCCTACCTGATGCTATAAAGGACTCATCCAACATTTCATGGACCCTTTGGTTTCACACAGGACCACTAACGAAGGGTTGCAGGAGAGGCCCTCTACCAGACCCTCTGCTCAAGCTTCACTGTGAGCCCACTCTCCAAGATGCTGTTGGGGTGGGAGGTGTGAACCTGATTGAAAGATGCCAGGCTGAATGGGGCCATGGCAGGGAATAGGGTGCTGGTGAGAGGATGGACTACAATTGTGAGGAGGAGGCTTGACTGGTCCACAAATAGAGGAAGTAGCTAGAAAGGTGGGAGGGCATTATCCATGTCCTTGGTTCAAGCTTTCTTCCATATTCCAGACAGAGAAGGACCTCCTGCTTCCTGGGAAGTGAGGGTTTGGAGGCAGCAGCACTGGGAGCATGTCATCATGGACAACTAGATACCCTACCTGGGGTATGGCAGGTGGGCAGGAGGGGGCTGAGTGGGCCAGCATGTAGCAGATTCAACAACACTGAGAACATATAACTCTACTCTTTCTGGTCTTCTCAACTTCTTTCCAACCTAGAGCCTTGGCTGCTTTGTTTGGGCTGCAGAGTCCAGTCACTGAAGGATAAAACATTTGGATGTTTTAAGCTACAGCAGTCATTTGTGGTAGACCATGATGAAGTCGACCACAACATGACATATACAAAAATATGCACATAATCTCAAATACACAGCCTCACTCCTCTAGCAGGCTAGAGGCAGTCTCAATGGGGAAGACCTCCAAGGTTCTAGTGTAATTCTAAGTTTAAATGCTCTTATACTGCTTGAGTGAATCCAGTAAGTCCAGTCCAACTGGCATATTTGATATTCAAAGTAATCTTACAGTGAATCCTTTCTGCAAAGCAAATAATTATCTTGTAATGCGAGTCATCATCCCTCCTTTTCATTTTGCGTGCTCTGGCTTGCTTGTCTGTGGCATTATACTGTTGTGTGTTTATGTAAGCATCACCCTTCCTGGCCTGAGATCTGCTCTTCTCTGCATTCCTAGTGCCTAGCATAGGGCCTGGCACATGAATGAGGGGAAATATAAAAAGAGAGATGGAGGGCGAAAGGGAAGATATGCTTGATGACCAGGTCAAAGGCAAAGGGAGAAGAAGACCCTAGAGGCTCCATAAAGGCTACTGTTTTGGTCTGTCCACTTGCTGAGGGTCCACTTAGACCCTCCGTTGTATAAGAGTGTTAAAGATCCTATGAAAATATAGTCATCTAGGGGAAAAGAAGCATCTGTGGCCATTAACACTTTCCACCATGCCAGTTCACACTTTCACCCCTGCACGTGCTCAGTCTAGAATGTCCATCTCGCCTCCTCTCCCTCTTATTGGTGAATTCTAACCCATTCTTCCAAGTCTCAATTGAAATATCACCTCCCAGGCAAAACATTCTCATATCCTCCCAACATCTTGCACTTAACTCTTTCTACAGTGCTTCTCTTATATTATACTTACCTGTTTATGTGTCTGTTCTTCATGCTAGAGTATGGGCCCCCACAAGGGCAGTGAACAGGTTTTATTCTTCATTTATTTCTCTGCCTCCACAAATACCCAGACATACATGTGCAGCAATTCTCACATGTGGGGCTTGGTAGGCATGTAAGTATTTTTCCAGTGGAGGTTTTGTTCTTACAAGATTAGCCAGTGCTGGCACAGACACATTGAGGTTGTGGCACATGAGAAAAGGGGTGGAGAGAGAGAAAGGCCTGATTTTGGAAAGGTAGGAGGCAGGACAAAGCAGTATGGGGGAATTCACATTAGCAGGGAGATGGGTGGTAAGAGATGAAAAGGCCAAACAGAATGACCATTTTTGCCTATTTTGCACTTCTGCCTCAGATGACTGTCTCTTGTCCTGTGACACATGTGTAAAGATTCTAGAGAGCCTCTGATGACATTCGGGAAGAACCACAGGTTTAAAGATGCAAGTTCATTATTGCATTCTTTATCAGTGAGAGCAATGGTTGTTCTTTATCTTACTCTTTCTTTTGACATTCCTCCAGAAAAGGGAGAATGAGTCCCATTTTACCTGCAGGGAAACTGAGACCCAGAGCGGGTGGGAGACTCATCTGAGTCTTGGTGTTACAATAAGCCCTGGAACTCAGGCAAAAGCCCCATCTCTCCCTTTCTAATGGACTCTCCCACCTCGTCGCTATCACCCGCGTTACAATTTTGAGGGCATGACTTGGCTGTGGTCCCACTTGCTAAATGTACGACAAAGGCAAGCTACCCACCTGACTGCACTGCTGCATGGGTGTAATGAGGTGTGAGAGTGAGGAAGTGGAGAAGGGGTGCAGGCGAGCCATGATGTCTGTTAACAAGAGGATTCAGTCCAAGTAGATGGCCCCCAGGCCCTGGAGCATGGGGTCTAACTGGAATGAGACCAGGGCTAGACCTTGGTATTATGGGAGACCCAAGGGTTCCCTACAGAGGAAGAGCCCTCCTACCAACACAGGTGGGCAGAGGCCGGTCCCAGGTCCGGCGCTCTCCACTCAGACACAGCAGCTCCTCACTACCCCGCAGGCTGTATCCAGGGTCACAGCTGAAGGACACGGAGCTCCCTGCAAAATGACCTTCATCATGAACCTTGTAGCCAAACTGCGGGGTTCCTGGGTCCTCACATTTGATGAGTTCGAAACCTGGTGAGGAGAGAAGAGGTAGAATGAGTAAGACCTATTGTGGCAGAAACCATGCTTCCTCTCTTCCCTCAAAGCCCACGTCCTCAACGAAGCTGTCTCAGCCACAGCCCGTGGGTTCTGATGGATTCACCAGTCAGGATTTCCTCATTTCTATGCTCAGTTGAGGGTGTATTAAGGAACATCCATTTCTCTGTTGCTAAATGTAAATGATTTCTGCTTTTAATAGTTTTCAGGCCTAAGGTCTGCATTTTCTATTTCTTTTGTTTGACCCCATAGCATTTTTGCTAGCAGAAGCGTTCTTTTCATTTTGCTCATTGAGACATTCTGATAACATGGGGTAATATGGAGAAGTCACCTTAAATGTATGTTTAAAAGCTTAGTTATGACCTGCTTAAACATATGCTGTTGAAACGGGCTGGAAAAGGAAACAGATTTATGCAGAGCTCCCACTCTATGGCGCTATACATGTGTTCTCTCTCATTTGTTATTCACAGGAGTCTTACAGGTGGGTATAATTATCTGCATTTTACAACTGAGAGCATTGATTTGGGAAGGTTAAACAAACTGTTCCAAACTTACACAATTTTCACATGATAGAAATGGAATTCAAACGTGTCTCTAATCCTCTTCCACTGAACCTCCTGCTGTAATAGGCAAGGATCCTCTGCCAGGCAGCCTGGAGCCCAGGCGAGGGGAAGCCTGACTATACTCTGTGGATTATTTTCCCCAATAGCTTTCTTTATTGAGATACAATTCACATACCATACATTCTCCCATCTAATGTGTACAATCCAATGTCTTTTAGTAGATTCACAGAGTTGTACAGCTATTGCCATAATCAGCTCTACAACATTTTTATCACCTCAAAAAGAAGTTCCATAGACATTTTCCCCTAACTCCCTCAGCCTTAGGCAACTGCCCTTTACTTTCTGGCTCTATGGATTTGCCTGTTCTGGACAGTTCCTACAAAGGGACTCAAACAATATGTGGCCTTTGAGATTGGATTCTTTCACTTAGTGCAATCTTTTCAAGGGTCATCCACATTGATGCACCTATCAGTACTTTACTCATTTATTTTTTTTTAAAGACAGAGTCTTGCTCTGTCACCCAGGCTAGAGTGCGGTGGTGCAATCTCAGCTCACTGCAACCTCTGCCTTCTGGGTTCAAGTGATTCTCCTGCCTCAGCCTCCCGAGTAGCTGGGATTACAGGTGCCCGCCACCACGCCCAGCTGATTTTTGTAGTTTTAGTACAGAGGGGGTTTCACCATCTTGGCCAGGCTGGTCTCGAACTCCTGACCTCGTGATCCACCTGCCTTGGCCTCCCAGTGCTGGGATTACAGGCATAAGCCACTGTGCCCTGCCACTTCACTCCTTCTTATGGCCAAATGCTATTCCATTGTATGAACATATCACATTTTGTTTACCCATGCATCCACTGATGGATACACATTGGATTTTAAAACAGTCTTAAGAGCACATTCTTTGTATCTTGTGGGCAAGCAGAAGCTCAAGTAAATGAATAAAATGGGAAAGCCTGACTTCCTTGACCACACGGATGCAAGAAAGACTTACTGGAAAACTGCAGTTCAAAGCCCTTGCTGGTGTTTTCAGCATCAGTGATGAAATCAAGCCACAGACTGCTGGATGTGCTGTTCAAAGTCACCCCCATCATCTCAGAACGGCTGAATACTCCCAGCAAACGGGCGGAGTTGTTGTTGCCGTCATAAACCTGGACACAGGAGAGACCCCCAACCCAATGTCGTCAGCATGGCCTTATGTTGAACAACACCTTCTTACCCCACAACCCACACTCCTGGAGTTTAGCACTGGTATCAACTATCAGAGGCACATTGAGTTATCAGATGCAAGGAAGATGGCAGAGGGAAGCTATCAACTGAGCAAGTTATCTCGTTTTCCCTTGATGTCAGTTCTACGCTCAGCCCATCTTTACTGTGAATCTGGTCTTTGGCAACTGGTTGCTATTCCAACCTTTCCAGTGGAGATCTGCTCTTGTTCCCTCAACCCCCATATAGCAACAGCTTATTCTTTAGCAGCCTGGGGAGGCCAGGTTTGGGTTGCCTGCTTCTCAAACCACCTGTTTCCTCAGATAGACAGGCTGAAAGCATTCATCTCTACATTGCTAAACCCGCAATCCTGTCCTTCCAGTACACGAGACAGCCATCCTCTCACATGATCCCACCCCACTGTGGCAGTAGCCTGTCTTGACCACTCTGCTGGATGTCATCCCTGGGAATCAGATGGGATGGAGTTAAAATGACCAGCGTGTCATGGTGACTTTTTCTTCCCCAAGCTCAGCCTCTGCCCCTTCCCTGCTAAAATGAGGGCTCCAGCTAGAGCCTGCTGGGCTTGCCCAGGGTGGAATCGTACAGGCATCTGGCTTCCCTTGCTCCCATCTGTCCCCTGAACTTCTTAGTACCAGCAAAGACAACAATCATCAGAATAATGAACTGGCTCCCCAGGTTTCGAGGTTGCTGCTCCTTTCCAGATAATTGTACAAATAACAACAGAAGTTGTGATTGAGTGAAAGACCCCCTGGTGCTTTTGTAAATATCAAAGATGGGATCTATGAGTGGGTGATGAATATTTGTGCATGGCACACAATGTGATGCCAGCTGCCAGCAAATTGGAACAATATTTCCAGTGTACTATTTATGAAGCAAAGCTTTCTAAAAGAAGCCATCCTTCAAGCTAACAGTGTTGTATATTATAGAGATTTGTTTAGGCTCCTGGGAGCCTGAAATCTGTTACCAGATCCTTGTGTAATTGCTGTATATCACTGATAGACTGAGTGAATTCCAGGGTTCCAACAGACATCAAGATAAAACAAGTTCAAAGAGTTTAGCCTAAATTGTTACAAAAATATTTTTAACTACCAAAACATATGGAAATCAATGGACCGAGGCATTTATCATCAATGGAATAAGAATCATCAATTGCAATAAGAAATAATAATCATCAATTGCAGTAAGGAAGACAATCAGACAACATGTGTTTCTTTAATAAAAGATATACCATCACCCATGGAGTTACCTTGCCAAAAAAATCAGACCTGATCAGATCAAGCCACTGGATCTAATTTCCAACTTACGGGCAATAAATACCGAGGACAGAGGAACATACAAAATGATACGTTGTGAGGGCATTCAGCAAAATCCAGAGTGGAAAGTTCCACTGAACAAATGATCTGATTTCCTCAACAAATAAGTTACAAGGGGGAAAAGAAAAAAGATGGAAGGAGAAACCTGTAGATTAAAAAACACATGAGACAATGACTCTAATGTGTGGACCTTATTGAATCCTGATTCAAATAAACTATAAATTTAAAAAATGTTATGACATCTATGAGATAATTGAAATTTAAACACTCACTGGATATATGATGTTATTCAGAAACGATGGTTAATTAATAAAAAGTGAGATGGGAACAGGATATTTTCCTTAATTTCCAAGCATAATTCATCCTAATTCATCAAGAACAAAAATGTTACTTGTATCATTACAATAAAATATTAATTGCTGAAAAACTTATAAAACAGAAATGTGCAAATAACTTTCAGGACTTACAACATATTGGTAAGTATCTTTCTAGACTTTATTCTATGCATTTATTTCCTTGTATAAATTTATGTTTTTATAATTTTTTTTAACAATAAGATCAAATTATAGATACTATAGGGCAACCTGCTCTTTCACTTAATATAATGTATATATTTTTAAAGTTATTAAATATTTTTTCCATAACGGCATTTAAATGGCAGCAGGAATTTCTATAATAAAAATTAACCCAATCTGCAATATAATTATTTACACATCAGTGTCCAAAATATGTGATCTGGTACTTAAGGTTCACTCAGTAAATGTATGATAAATAAACCAGTATTTTCCTCTAGAATTCATGTCCTTAAATCTACCTGAAATTTATTTTGGGATATGATATACAATTCTACCTTAACTCCCTGATAGATTAGTCATTTAACCAAACTCTGTTTGTAAATATTCCACACACTACCAATTTTAAATCCATCTTTATCACATATATAATTAACATATAATTATATACATTTGGTTTTGTCAGCTTTCTATTCTATTGCATTTGCCTATTTTTCTACTCCTATGAATGATCCACAGTTTCAGTTACTGTAGATTTACAATATATTTAAATAATTAGTAGGAAAAGTCCTCATTTGTCTTCTTTTAACTTAAAAAAAATTCTCCCAGATGTACTCTTCTAAACTCAAGAAGACTTTTCCTGAATTATAAAAAGTAAAACAAAAACCTCCAAAACAAAACTTGTGTAATTCTGACTGAGCTACGTTAAACGTATGGATGGACTTGAGAAAAATGTATCTATGTGATATTGAGTCTTCCGATCCATATACATGGTGTCTAGCTCCATTTAATCAGGTTGTCTTTTATGTCTCTCACTAACATTCTGTTCTTATTCCTGGGTATTTTTATATTTTTGACTGCTATTGGGAATTGGGCCTTTGTATACATTTATTTCCTAACAGGATATTGCTTGATGGTCCAATTCATCATTATGAGCAGGTGATGGAAATGTCTCCCTGAGAAATCCAAGAGAATCTATGCACATCCATTACATCCAATAAAGCAGGTCAGCAAGATGGCTGGTTTCAAAATGAATATGCTAAGCAGAAAGCTTTCTATACACAATTACAAACAACGTAAGCATAATTTCAGAATATTCCTTCATGTCCGCTTGCACACGTGTGCTTGAGTTTCTCTGGTGCACACATCTAGCATGGAAAAACTGGTTGCAGGGATGGCACATCTTCAATTTGGTTAGATATTACTAGATTGCTCTTTGAAAAGGAATACCAATCTGCTCTCTCACCAGCAACATCTGACAGCTTTCATTGCTTTATATCCTTGCTGATACTGGGTATTTTAGGGTATTATGATGTTTTCCAATTTGATGAGTGTAAGTGGTATCTCATTTTAATATGTAAATCCTTGATCGTCATTGAAGTTGAGCATCTTTTTATATGTTTATCAACAGTTCTTACTTCCTCTGTGAATTGGCTGCCTGTTCATACCCTCTGTGCATCCATGAGCATGAAATCTCCCGGCATTTATTTTAGTTACATCAATATCAAAATAAAATTTTATCTTCTCTCATTTAAGATTATGCACATTTTGGAGGGCTTATTTCTAGGTGTCTTATAGTTTTTGTTTCTATTATAAATGAGACTTTCCCTCTTGATTGCAAGTTTTATTTGGTTATAGAAACTCCAGAAGCTTTGTGAATTTTCTTATTGATTTTGAGTTTATTAGTTGGTTGTTTTGTATTTTTGAAACAAAAGTCACAATTTTCTATATTCCTCTCTAATTTTTATAGTTCCTTTTTTTTTTTTTTCTTTTTCTGGTATAAATGTAATGGTTTGTCTCTTCAGCACAATGCTGCGTTCTATTGGTGATAGTAGAACTACTGATCTTGTTCTTGACTTTACTGAAAAGTTTTAGGAAGTTTTGCAATTAAGTATAATGTTTGCTGTAGGCATTTGGTAGAAATATTTTTATCAAGTTAGGAAAGTTCTACGTGTAGTTTTATGAGATATTTTTAAAAATCATGAGTGGGTGTTGAATTTAATCACATGATGTTTTGGGGTGTATTAGCAGGATAATGTCTTTTTCTTTGCTAATCTGTTTATAGGATATTAGGTTGAGCCATGAAATTGCCAATATTTTAACAGTTTTGACCTACAAAAATAGCAATTTCAAATGGTTTGTCTAACAAATAACATTATGAGCTTTTCTAATTTTGACACATCTTCACATTCCTGGAATCAAACCTACTTGGTCATCTTTGTTTTTTTTTTTTTTTTTTTTTTTTTTGAGATGGAATCTTGCTCTGTCATCCAGGCTGGGGTGCAGTGGCTGCAATCTCGGCTCACTGCAAGCTCTGTCTCCTGGGGTCACGCCATTCTCCTGCCTCAGCTTCCCAAGTTGCTGAGACTATAGGCGCCCGCCACCACACCCTGCTAATTTTTTTTTTTTTTTGTATTTTCAGTAGAGACGGGGTTTGACTGTATTAGCCAGGATGGTCTCATCTTTGTTTTAATACACAGTCAAATTCAATCTGATTTATACTCAGAATTTTTAGATCTATGATCAAAAGTGAGATGCCCTAATAGTTTCTGATTTCTGTTCTTTTTAAAATTTTTATTTTAAATTATCAATTGATAAATTATAGCTGCATATATTCATGGGGTAGGAAGTAATGTTATGATTTACGAATACAATGTGGAATTAGTAAATCAAACTAACATAACCATCACCTCAATCACCTCAAATACTTATCTTTTTTTGTTGCAAGAACATTTGAAATTTACTTTTAGTGATTTTGAAATGTATGGTACATTATTATTTGCTATATTCACTGTAACGTGCAATACATCTCAAAGGAAAAAACAACCCTTAATTCTTCTGTCTAATTGGTGCTTTCTATACTTTGACCATTATCTCCCCATTCCGTCAATCCCCTGGTAACCATCATTTTACTCTTTGATACCAAAGTTTCTACTTGCCTCATTAACAAAAATGAGTTGGGAGATGGATCTTTATTTTTGTCTCTTCTGAACAGTTTATTGCAGGGATTAATTGCTTCTTGAAGTTTTGGTAAAGCTTACCTGTAAAATAGTTAAGGCCTGGGGCTTTTGAGAGAGGATATGGGGGAATTATAATTTTTTAATGATTATTGGTTTTTTCAGATTTTTTTCATATTAGTACTTTTTATCTATAAAAATTTCCATTTCATCTGAGCTTTCAGATTTCTTGGTTTACAGTTGTTTCTAAACATTTTCCTTCTTTTTCTTGAAAAAGGGTCTCACTCTGTTACCCAGACTGGAGAGCAGTGGCGTGAACCCTAAACATTTTCTTATTTCCATCATCTCTCCTCTATCTTTGATTATGTCCCTTTTCAATTCCTAATATTACATATTTGTGGCTTCTTTATTCCTTGATCAGTTCTGCCAGTTTTATCTACTTTATTATTTTTCAAAAAACCAGTTGGTTTTGTTGACAATTGCTCTTGTTTTTTAGTTTTGTTTCTCTAGTCATTTCTGCCTTTATGTTTAAAGTCTCTTTCTCCTACTTTCTTCTGATTTGTTCTGTTACATCATCCAAGTTACCCAAATCCTTATTTATCTTTAACTTAGGTGATATATCACAGACTTACAGAGGTATATTAAAATCTTCCATGATGACTGTAACTTTATTAAATTTTTTTACATTTCCAGCAGTTTTTATTTAATTTATTTGTGCTGTGTTATTTGGCACATAAAGTTTTACTGCGGATTGATTATCCATTTTATTAATATAAAATAATCCTCTTTTTCATTTCCTTATGAGATGTGGGAGAAGTTCTCAAATTTATCTTTTAATAAACTGATTTCATTTTTCTGTGGTTTACCATCTTCCGTTCATTGCCTCTATTCCATTTTTTAATTGGGTGATCATGTTTTTCATCTCTATTTAATCTCTCCTCATCTCAGATTGCTCTGTTTTCATTATTGCCTAGTTTTGTGTCATAAATATAATATTCTCTCAAATTCTCTTAAGAATACAAATTAGGAGCTTTTAAAGTATGTTTCTGTTCTTTGTTGCCTACAGAGGGGCAATTAGCTCTGATTCCTCAGACATGTCTCCGTCTTCTGATCTACTGAATATTTACACACATCCGGTTAATTTTCTGGTTGGTACACCGTTACAGAGGGAAAATGGAAATGGGGAATGGAAACATTCAGCAGTCTCTAAGGGAGAGTAGACGAGCTAAACTCAAAGAGGTCGTAGCAGGAGCATTTCTTACCCTGGTGCTAAAGAGTGTGTGCGTGTGCGTGTGCATGTGTGTGCATGTGTTTGTGTGTACATGTGTGTGTGCATGTGTGCACTACCTGGGCTCCCGCATCCTCTGTTAGTCCTCCCTGAACTCTGACCTAGGTTTTATGCCCCATGTCCCTCCTGCTTTTTTACCCTGAACACCTCATAATGACTCTCTCTGCTTATCTACTAAGCTGCCCACCTGACCCTGAAGCCAGAACCCTGACGGTGCCGCTGAGTGTGCACACCTGCTGACTATGTCTTAGGTGCTATTCTGAGTCTAGACTCCCTTAGTGAGGAAGCATGGCACTGGCCATACTCCATGTGACCTCCAGCAACCTAGGAGCCATTTGTGCTGGCTCTGTCAGGTCACTTGCACAGAACCGCTGCTTATACTCCCTTCAAAACCTGAAAATTGTAAACTATGCCTCAAAGCTGGCTTTTTGTGCTAATGGCCTTCACCCAAGAAAGCCTCTGCATTGCCCAGCTCACATCGCTCCATCTGTACTTCTACAGAGAGGAGGTCCCTCTGGCACTGCTGGACTGACTGCAGCCTCTGCATTGCCCAGCTCGCATCGCTCCATCTGTACTTCTACAGAGAGGAGGTCCCTCTGGCACTGCTGGACTGATTGCAGCCTCTGAGACTCAAATGGATGGAGAGAAGCGAAGGTCAAGGGTGATGCCTAAAGACATGGTTATTAGAAGGGCATAAAACCCTTGTCTTGTTTTCTCTTGTTGGGAGACACACACTGTTTTTATGTGGGGTTGGAAAGCAGAGCTTAAGAAGCCAATGGGATTGTTCTATCCCATTTCAGGCACATCCAGTTCCAGCCAGTGATCTCATGAGTGCATCTTCTTGGGTTCAAAAAGGATTAGGTAAGAGTGAGAAATGCATTTCAAACACACACACACACAAACACACACACACACCATACACCCTAGAGGACATATGCGTCAGGGGGTTGGCCAAGAGTATCCATCATCTGTATATAAAAAGGACAGCACATTTATCACATCTGGAGATAATCTGAAAGCATGGAAATTTAATGGTTTCTCTTTGGATTTTCCAGAGTAGTGGGCTCTGGTTCAACTTTTTCTAATGTAAGGACTTCTCCGGCTACAAGGAATAAAACTATATTAGAAAAAGCTAAAAAAATTCCTTGGCCTAGGATGAAAATGAACATGCTTTGTATGAGGCTTTCCTTGTCATTCATTTTATTAAGGCAGCTCTTTAATAAATTCTCCATGCTCAACTCTTTGATTACACAGACACACACCACACATTATTGGAGGTACTCAATCCATATTCTTTGTATTTATGCAAAGAAATACAAGACATATATGATGAGTGTCTTAACAAATCCTCTCTATGACCCTCTCTGTAATCCAAGTCTTACCATTTCTTTCTCTTACATATGTCTTGAACTCACTCTCTTTAACCCCACTGCCACACCAGGCCATCATTGTGGTACACTGAGGCAACTGCAATAGCCTGTTATTCAACCAAAACATATGCAATGCCCAAGTGCGCATACACACAATATACTGACACAGGTGTGCACAGACACAGATCCCCAAAACCAAATACATGGACACTGATTCACACACATGTGGAAACATATTTTAAAAAGCATCCATAGCCATAAACACATAGCTACACAAATGAACACACACATGCATATATACACATGTTCTATGAGCTCTTCATTATCCATGTTGACAGTCAGGGTTCAAAATGGAAAACTGGATCCATTGGCTGCTCCAACCTTATTATTATTTTGAGACAGCGTCTGACTCTGTCACCCAGTCTGGAGTGCAGTGGCATGATCACGGCTCACTGTAACCTCAATCTCCCTGGTTCAAGTGATCCTCCCATCTCAGCCTCCCCAGTAGCTGGGACTACAGGCATGCACCACCACACCCAGCTAATTTTTGTATTTTTTGGAGAGACGGGGTTTTGCCGTGTTCCCTGAGCTGAATTATTATCTTTTATTATGCAGTCAACCCATACTCAATTACACACACATTTGATAGCAGGCAGCTTCCAAACAAACTCTAAAGCCATATTCTTAGATACCCATATACCTCTCGCTTTTGGTCCTCTCTTTCTCCCAGATGAGTGAGGACAGTATCTTGGGACTCAGGAAAGAAGGAGAAAGTTTGGATCATTCACAAAGAGACAAAGGAGTGAGTATTGACCAGACTATTGCATAGTGTAACATACATACTCTGAAACTGATCAATTTTACCTTGAGGACATCTCCTTCGGAGAGTTCGAATGCCCTGGCTTTCAGCTGAATTCCCTTCCCTGGCTGGGTCTGGATGGAGTAGATGCATTCGTGATTGTTATTGTAGTTCACAGGAAAGTTGGGGGACAGCAAAGTACCCTGAGTGCCTGTGACTGAATTCCCACACTCAGCTGGAAAGAGAATCACAATAACCATAGATTAACCCCCATCAGCTGCATCCAGAAAGCAACTCACAGCTCTGGAGAACCTGACAAAGATGACAAGTCATTTGCCTGTCTACCTGCCAAGATGCCTGTGTGTCTGTCCAGTTGTTGGACTGTTTACAGAAATGCCTCTCAAAGTTAAAAAAAAAAAATACTTCTCTACCTATGGTGCTGCCTGGTTTGCTTCTGTCTCTTGTTCTGTTTGTCTGTCTCTTCTACAGAAACAGAAGCTAACCCACCGGGCACCCTTTACAATTTCACAGTTCTATAAAGCAGCCGTGCCATATACCTATTCATATAGTAGCGTAGCAACAGAAATGACCAAGGAGGAGGTCAGGGGAAGAGGGGGGCAGTTAAGTGAGGAGAGATGAAACCTTTCAGTATCACAGAATAGAAAGTAAGAGGGGGCAAGATCACATCATAATCGCTAACCCTTATGTGCAAAACAGCATGATTGACACTTTACAAGAACCATTTCAGTCATTAGTCACAACAGTCAGTCCCATAAGTAGGCACAATTATCATTTCTGGTTTAAAGATAAGGAACCAGGTACTCAGCCTCTGAGACCAAGTCTCTCTGTGGATTCACGAGGAGGAGGGGACTGAGAATTCAACCTTCTAGGTCCTGGGGAAAGTTTTTAGCATAGCCTCATTGCAGCCCGTTTCATTCAATAGCTAATGAAATCACACCCTCCTCTGGAAACCTGCTTCTCCTCCTCCAGAATTAGTCATTCTTTCCCCATTGTTCTCATACCTTTATTTATAGCAGTCATCCCATTTCACTTGACTTATTTGTTAACATTTCTATGTCCTCTACTGCACTGTGGATCCTCTGGGGCTTGGTCATGTTACTGTCTCCTTAACACCCACTCAGTGCGTGGGCAGGGCAGGCTCAGGGCATGCATGGAAGAATGGGACCTTTAATAATTGGAGGGCCCCTCCCTGTTCTTCCCTGTATGTGAGCACTTCCCATATTGCACCTTGATGGCTTGCTGCCTGTCTGTGTCCCCCACCTAAACTGTCAGTAACTTGAGGGCTAGGGTCATGCTGGATGAACCTATGAATTTCCAAGGCTTAGCCTGGATTGTCTGTAAAATAAATATTTACTGAATGAATGAATGAATGAATAAATGAATGGATATGGAGTACACTGACCTCAGAAGATGTACAGTTCTAAAAATAATAATTAGGTTCCGGAAGGATGTAAATACAAGTCCAGATGGCAGGCCTGTTATTCGTGTGGACATATGGGGAATTTGGAGCATGCCTTGAATCTTTCAGGCAGCTGGTAGCAAGTCTGCTTTCTCTAAACCATCCCCAGTATCCTTTAGTCTAGGCACAGTCTGTGGCTGGAAAAGCCTTGGGGTTGACCAAGGGACCATTGCTTGGACCTTATAGTTAACCCTAATTACCCTAAGCCGGGAGCATACTAGACTGAGGCAGCATAGATGGAGCACATGGAAACCTTCAGAGCTGAACTGCTCATGGGCTTAGTTATATGTCTTGTGTTTTCTCTTGTCCCCAAGGCTGCTCCTTAGTCCTCTGAAGATGGGGGCCATATGTCCCACCACCAGGTCCCAGTTTTTCTCAATGGACCCTCCTCCCTGCATTCTGCTCAATTCAGGACCAGCTTCAGTTTCCTAAGGCTTTATATAAGGCCTCATTTATTTCTCTTGGAGAAGAAATCTGACTTTACAGTACTTTTAAACTTAGTCTGTTTGCAAAACTTCCAGATATCATGATGAATGTGCTGAGATGGCTCATAAAACTCAAGGGACAGCGGTGGACAGGCTCCCTGGGGGCAGTGGCTGCTGATAATTTACACAGATGTTTCCAGCATGTGTACATTTCTTTGATGATCTCAGATGAGGGTGGGGATTTGTGGGGAGGAGGGAGAGTTGCTTAGGGCCATGCATATGTAAACATTTATTACTCAGTCATATCACATGGGCAGCCTTCTGAAGCATCTCTCCATTTTCTCTGAGATACTACCTTTCCCTTCCATCCAGGCAGAGGCCTGTGGTGCAGTGGGATGATCATGGACTTTGGAGTTAGACACATTGTGTAAACTCTCTGAACTTTAGTCTCTTCATCTGCCTTCATCTGGACAATAATAGCATTCTCATAAGACTGTAGAATCAATGCGTGAGATTTTATATATAAGATAGGTAAACATAGGGGAATGGTTAGCACAGAGTAGCCTCTCCACCAATGTCCCAGGTTAATCTACATGGCTTACCTTCTTCCATTTGGGGCCCTAACTGCCTGCATTCTGGGACTGGCAGAAAGCTTGAGAAGCTTATGGGAAGTGTGCGTTAGCTGCCCGAGGCTCACAGCAACCTCACAGTTCCTGATGCCTCTTGCCCTCTGCCTAATTCTCGACAGCTGGCTTTCCTTAAACATGGGCTTTGGTGTGTTTCTGGACCTCCTTCCTGGCCCTGCTTCCTGCATAAGAGCTATATGCCCCATCTCTGCCCCAGCACGAGCCTCTCCTCTTTCCCACACGCCTGACACCTTTACAAGGAGGGGCTGATAGCTTTAGATGTGGCCAGTCCTTCGCCAATCCCCAGGTCCTGACTCCCTGTCAGGCCTTTGTCCTGGGCACCAGGGAGGGGACAGGAGGGACAGAGGGATGCGGCGCTTGTTTCCGGGAGAGTTTCCAGAGTAACAGGGGAGGTGAACAGATGCACTGAGAAGCCAAACACAGGCACAAATGGAAACAAATAAATGCTCCAGAGAAACAAACAGTCACATCCACAGGAAAGTGCTGCAGCTGATTCTGGCATCTATGACTTCTGTTGCCCCCATCAGAAGGGGTCTCGTGAAGGGCAGAGGCTATACCTTATCCATCAGCCTGGGGCTTCTGAGGCAGAGGGTTAGGTCTTCTCCATCACACCGGGATTCCCAAGGACAGGGCCATGTCTCCTGCTGCAGACTGGGGTCCCCTGCGGTCAGGACTGTCTCTTCTACATCAAATTCAGGGGCCCCTGATGTCAGGGGCTATGTCACCTCCCTCCCTGCTACCCACGTCACACCATGAATTAAAGCCCAGGGCTGTTCATCTCCTTCTCGGCTGGGAATGTTCCTGGTAGCACTATGTGGACTAAATCATCCAATTTGCATGGCGACTGGGAGCAGCCCCCGGTGGGCATTGCCGAGATGCCTCCAGCCTGAGCCTCGGCAGCCGGGCTGGTGGTAATTAGAGGTGATTATAATTACTGTGCATTATTAATAACATGTGAAACAGAAGACAAATGTAATAATGAAAATATTGTGAGGTGTCATGAACAAACAGTAATTGGAATAATAAGTTAAAAAATGAGTTTATGTAATGAGATCAATGAGGCAAGAGCTTAAGGGCTGTGTGCATCTGTGGTCCTGGTTAATCCCATTCAAGAAGAATTTCCCCCAGAACCATTTAGCTGAGGATGTTTTCCCAGAGATTAAAGGAGCTGCTAGCAGCCAGACATGAACTGAACCTTCCTGGGGTGGGCGGCGGGGTTCTATGTGTTTCTGAGCGTGTGTGGCCAGATCAGGGTGGGTGGATGCCTTTGGGGATGGTTATAGGAGATGGAGTAAACGCTGGGGTTATTTGATTGGTCAGAAACAGAATTCTGCCACGCTTTGTTTTAATGTTTCCTTTCTGAGATTGTAAAAGGTTATTGGCAAAATAACAATAATTGGTTATTGATAAATACAGATTAAAAGGTTATTGGCAAAATGATAATTATATGCCACCTCTTGGTTTATGTAAATGATGTCATCTAATGTAGAGTAAAGCCTGTGAGTTGGATGCTGTTATCTCTGTTTTATAAATGAGGAAGCTGAGGCTGAGGGGGTTTGCTGGCCTGCCTGAGATCTAAGCATTGGTAAGTGGCAGAGCCATGACCCCACCTTGGCCTGCATGAGTGCACAGCCTGGGCCCGGCCCATCTTGCCAGCCTGTCTAAGCTATCCTTGGCATAGCCTGCGGGCTCCATGGACTTGTCTCAGGCACAGCTGACCTCACCGGCATTTGAGATGCTGGTCCCTGTTTCAGTCAGTGCAGTGCTGCTTTGATCTGTTTTGTATATTTTTATGGGGTTTTATATAATATTTCACTTTACGTGAGGTCCATGGCTAACAGTGAGCATGGAAAATACTCCATGAATGCAGCTAGTGTTTTATCCAGCCCTACATTATAAGGATTGAGCAAACAGGTGCCCAGGAGCCTCATACATTAGGGACAGACAGCAATCACTCTGCCCCAGGGACAATACTTGCTTCCCCTACTCCCTGGGCACAGCGCTCTGAACAGACTTCTTTAAAGCTCTTGCAAGGAGGTAGGCAGGGCCCGGTTCCAACCTCCAACAGCTGCCTCTAACCTCCACATCTCCTGTTCTCCCTGCCGCTTGCTCCAGCCTGGCCTCTGAGCTGTTCCCCAAATGCTGAGCATCTTCATGGTTTGGGTCTCGGTCCTCTACTCCCTCTTCTCCCAGATATCTATCTCTGGCCAAATGTCAACTCATCAGAGAGGCCTTTTCTGACCACTATAAAAGAGCAACCCTAGCTCCAGCACTTTCTAAGCTGACTTAATTTTTCTCTGTATGCCCCAACACTGCCTGACACATCACACATCTACATATTCACAGCCTGTGTCCCCACCACCAGAATGTGGGCCACGAGTGGAGAATGTCTCTGTTTCGTCCACTTTTGTATCTTCAGAACCTAGCAGATGCCTGACATGTAGTGGGTCCTCTATACATGACCCCACCCAGTTCCTTTTGTCTTCCCCTGCTGAATGGATGAAGTCTTCCTAAGGCGTCTGTAAGAGTGAGCACCGCCATTGGATTAGTAAAAGCAGCTATCTGCTCCACCAGATGGGGACTCCCCCTGGGCAAAGGTCACACTCCCTCCTACAGGCTCACCTGGTGCCCATCCAGATTCCTCAGCAAGAGGCATCCTTAAGCCATGGGTCTGTGTGCTGAGGGTGGGGAGGTGAGAGTACTGAAGTCAACTTCATGTGAGTGCCCACTGTGGACCTACTTTGGAAAGCTCACTTTAGTGTATACAGAACTGCCTGATGAAGCAGGGATTGCCATCCCTATTTTACAGATAAGGAGGCTGGAGCGGAAGGAGGTTAGGTCCCCTGCCCCGGGTCCCACCGCAGCTAAGTGTGGGCTAAGTCAGCCTCTTGGCCTGTGTGCCGTCCACCACCTCACATCAATTGACTATAATCTGTCCCACCCCATTAGTGAAGCAAAATGAAAGCACGTGACCACCTACCAACACACCTTGGCAGAGGCGAGCTCCACAGGCGCCGTCTGCCCCCCAGGCACGTGATACGGGCGGTGCCCTCCAGACGGTACCCGGGGAAGCAGGAGAAGGTCAAGGTGTCGCCCACACCAAACTGCAAGCCCTTCCGGATGCTGTAGGCTGGGACCTCAGGCTCCTCACAGGGCTCCAAGTCATACTCTGGAAAGGCAGCAGGAGATCTGGGCTCAGACACATTGTGGGGAGATGGGAACGCATGGGCAAAACGCCAGGGGGAAAGGGCCAGGGACAACGAAAGACAGAGAAGAGGGCATGTGCACACTGGCCCACAAAAGGTGACACTGGCCCACAAAAGAGAAGTGAGAGCCCGAGGGGAGCAGAGACAGAGAGAAACATGGGGAAGCACAGGGAGGCAGAGAGAAGCATGGGGAGGTCAGGGTGGGCGGTCTGCACCCACTCCTGCGAGCAGTGGGAAAGGGGACAGTGTTTCCTAGATAGGCTTCCCAGGAGGATTTCTGAGGATCCTCAACACTCAGCTCTTCTCTGTGCTGTCCCTTCATCTCCATTTTAAATCTGCACCTTGGGGCTCACAGGCTCTCCTGCTTCCTTCTCTCTGGGCACCAAACTAGATAAATTCAACCAGCGGATTCTAGAAGGTCAGAGTACATGACCCAGCCTCAGGCAACTCCCACTGGGGAAGACACTCCAAATGCCTGACTAGAAGCCATGTCTCGGCTATGTTGGCACTTAGGCAGATGGCAAGCATGACCGGTGGCATTTATGGGCCAAAGCCCTGCCTGGGGCCTCTAGTGACAGCATAGAAGTGACTAGTCCCTTGTCTGCAAGGGCTTCTCCCTTCAGGATGCAGTCCTCCAGGGCTGTGTGATAAGAAGGAGGGTCTCTCTCATAAGGGTTGAGTCTCACTGACTGGATATGTCCCACTGGCCAAGCAAACCGAGGGATGTGACAAGTGACTTCTGCATTGGAGGGCTGACAGGGGACTAAGCTGGGCCACACCCCAGTTTCTAGAAGCTGGATACCTCTTGTCCATTCCAGGAGGAATCCATGTGATACCCCTGGCCGTGGCTGAGAAAGGTGGAGGGAGGTACTCTGGGGAACTATGGGATAAGAATGGCGAACGGCTCGGTACGAGAGGAGCCAAGGGTCCTCTTTTCTCCCTGAATGCCAAATAAAAGCACTTTCTTTTCCAAATCCCTAAACACAGAGATAACTATCTATTACTCTAAAATTAGCATTGATGAAAAAGATCCCAAACGAGACTAAATCACTCCAATATGTTAATTTCAAACCCCCTTTTTTTTTTTCATATTGCTGGGGTTGGGAATATGGAAGTGGAATCAGAAGAAAAATCTGGAATAACTAAGGTAGGAGGGGTCTTTTGTGAGGTCCTCTAGTTCATCCAGTTAGGTGGGCCATGTACAGAGCAAATCCTAAACACCTTTATAGAAGGAGAATCCTCAATGATCATGCTAACTCCTTCCAAGACCATTATAGGGAAGTTCTTACTTGGGTCCAACCCAAGCATCTTTTGCTGAAACACTGAGGTCAATTTCCCAGGGACTAGAGAGTGGAGTAACATCCATCTGCTAGGCAAACCAGAGACTGGCAGCAGAAGGAGAGAGCGAATAGCTCCATAGTCTCTTCCCCTCAGGGACCCTCACACTCTTTACCTGAGAAAGTGATGTTGAATCCTTCGTATGACATGGAGAAATCGGAAATAAAGCGGACCTGGGCAGTGAAGTTGCCATAGAGCCCAGCGCTGATGGGAGCTGGCAGCCGAGAGCCAGTCAGCTGCCTCAGGGGCTGGGTGAAGCTGCCGTTCTCAGTGATGAGGAGGTAGTCATGGCCACTTTCCAGGTGGAAGGTGTGGAAAGTAAAGAACACACCTGCCGAGAAACCAGAAGGTCAGGTTGGTGATGGCGAGATGGCCGGAGCACCTTAGCTGCAAGACAGGATCTACACAAACATTTCCAGTTTGCAAATGTCTATCTGTGTGTATGACTACAAGCACGCATCGATAAACCATACAGGTGAATCTGAATGAAGGAACCTGAACACACAAGTGCCCAAAGATTCAGGGAGAAGAACACCTTTTTACAGTTGTCAAAATTTAAAAGAGAGATTTATGGCTCCACCTATGAGAATGCTTTAGAGACATTCATTAATTAATTCAACAAGCATTTGTGTATTTGTTGAGTCTTTACTATGGGCTAGGATCCAGGGTTAGGTGCAAGGGGATATGCCAGGCATTAAACAAATAGCTGCAATACAGAGTGCTGAGTGCTGGAATGAATGTAGCTCAGCATGCCATGGGGGGCAGAACAGAAAGCAGTTGACAGGAGGAAGAGGCAGGTGGAGGACGGCTTCACCAAGGAGTAAACATTTGACATGGATCTTAAAAGGATGCACAGGAATTAACCAGGTAAGGGGAGAAAGAGTGTCCTAGGCAGGAGACCCATATATGTAAAGGGACTGTTGATTCCAGGTTTGTTGAACAGCAGCTGGGTGTGGCTACTCCTGGAATTGAAGTTGGATAGGTAGACGGGGGCCAGACCCAATATTTTTCTGGATGCAATGAGAAGGCTTCCTATCCAGAGTGGACCAGATCTCAGTTTTAGCAAGATGTTGGTGGCTGTAAGGAGGATGAAGTGGAGGGAGAGGAGGTAGGGAGATCGATTATATTGGTGGCTGCTCTGCACTGGGAGAGGATGGGGCTTGGCAGAAAGAGCAAAAGCAGGAGATGGTCATGAGTCCTCAGGGGTCGGGGCAGGGTGGTCAAGACAGCAGGCATTTCATGCAAAGGGGAAATGACATGACATCTGGTGGCACATCCACCTGGAGGAAGGTGATATCTTCTGTTACCTGGGGAAGGGCAGACAGGAGGGAGGTATGGGTTGTAAAAGTGTAATGGACTTAGCCTTTTCTGCATGCAAGCAGTGAGAGCTAGTGGGCCACTGGAAGGACAGATTTGGAAGTTCAGGATTAAGTGGGGACTACAGAGGTAGATCTGGAAGTCACCAGCAAATCGTTGATATCTGAAGCCACAAGCATGGAGAAGAGGGCTAGGAGAGAGAGGGCAGAGTGAGAATCGGAGAAGGGGTGAATGGAAGCATGGGCAGAAGTGACAGGGAATAGGAGACTGGGCAAAGGAGGAGTGATGGGGGAGATGGTCCAAGAGCAGTCAGAGAGCTGGAAAGAAGGAGGAGGGAGCTTCAGTAATGGGGAAGATTAAGAGCATAAAATAAAATCAAAGTAATGATATTCATTAACATTTCAAGCACTAAATATTTAGTGTCGCTGTCCTAACTGCTTTTACTTGCACTATAGCCAGCCCTTGTCCCTTGGAAGGGAGATAGGAAAACTCATTTAATTCTACCAGGAACCCTGTGGCGTGGGTACATTATTATAATCTCCAGTTTACACCCAAGAAAACGGAGGCACAAAGAGATGAAGTCATCTGTCCAAGGTCACCCAGCTAGTATGTGGTAGAGCTGGGATCTGAACTAAGGCAATCCCACTGCAGAGGCCGTGCTCCCAGCTACTCCAGGGTGCGGCCTCTCAGGCTACAGAAAGAGAGCAGGTAGTAAAGAATAGCCAGGAAGGGTAAAGGATCAGGGAGTGAGGGAAGTTATAGAGCAGTATGGTCTTAACACCCAAAGCAATTCTAGAACTTGTCCAGGTGGCAGTTGTGTTTGGTGGGGCATGTGTGTAAGTGTGTGGTCACGCACATGGGCACGCCTCATGTTGGAGCTTGAATCCAGATTTGATGTGACAGATGCACATACAAATATTTAACTTGAATGAACCATGCAGAATCAACCAAGTGAGTAGCCTATGGGACTATGTGTTGTGGATGGTGCCAGGACAGGAACATGTTAGACTAGGACCCACCTGCTACTCCAAGTGTGATCCCACTTTCTACTCAAAGTATGGTCCATGAACCAGCAGTATGGTCAGCAACGGGAGGACTTACTAGAATTGCAGAGTCTTTGGCCTCCACTGAAGACCTACTGAATCAGAATCTGCATGCTCTTTAGATCCCAAATGATTTATAGGCACTTAAAATTTGAGAAATATTTCTCTAGATAATTACTGCTACATTTTTTATAAATGATGGTTGGAGCCAAGCCTCTAATGTTAAAGCATTTTAAAGGTTTTTATATCCTTGACTCCCTGTTGATAGAAGCTGGTGATCCTGGAGGATTTGGGCTTCTGTAGATAGAGATGGAGGAGACAGAACCCAACAGAAGTGATGGGACCAGAGATGCAGCTTGTAAATACCCTGTTTCCAGGCAACTGAGATGCATCAAGTCCTAAGTACCTACCATGTGCCAGGCCTTGTGCTAAGCACTGAGAAAGATCTCCCAGTTTAGTGGAGAAGACAGACAAATCACTACTAGTGAGAATCCAGAGTGGAGCATGGAGGAAGAGTGGGGAACTATGCCTCAAGGGTTGGGAAGGCTTCATGGGGGTCAAGATCCTTGATGTGAAAAGGCTTGTGGGTGCATGTGCCCACATGCATGCTATACTCCTGACACATAAACATGTCTGCAAATGAGAAAACTGCTCTCAGTCTATACAGGTTAGGAAATATATGTCCTTTCCCTCTTACCTAGGACATGGAGTTGGGTGGAGAGTGGGTGAGACCCAGTCACAGGTGGAAACAAGTTGATTAAGCACCATACTTTGCACTCTATTCTAGCATGCAAATAGACCCCTTCCAAAGGGGTACATATTTGGCTGGGATTCTAAGGATGAGCAAATATCTGAGATGAAACCTCTGGGTTTCCCAGCTGTGCTGATTGCCTGGGGCTTTTTGGGCCATTGTGTGAAAATGAAGACATTGTCCGCAGAAATACAGAGGCCCCATGTTGGAGTTTGAATCCAGATTTGATGTGACAGATGGACCCACAAACAAATACTTCACTTGAATGAACCATGCAGAATCATACCAATGACATCAACACCACATAGGAGTGGAAAGAGCAGGACAGTGGAAAAGTCATGCACTTGGGGGTAAGACACACCTGGATCAAAAGGTCTTGGCTAAGGTTGCTTAACACCCCAAGTTCCAGGTTCTTCAACTATAATATGTAGGCGATAATATCTCTCTTACAGGTGACATTTACCCCTGAAAGTGAGGCATAACTGGGAAAGCATGTGCAGAGCACGCAGCACAGTGGCTGGCACACAGTAGGGGTGCAACAGAAGGTGTTCCCTTTGCTCAACTCATCTAACTCTTGGACAGCCTCATGGGTTAAAAGGTGTCAGCTCTAGGGTTTCAGCAAGGGCACATTCTCAGGATTCCTGAATTGGCTGTTCCCTTGGACTGGGCAGGTGGCAAGTTGAATGATTTCACATTTCACAGAGTTTTGAGTTTCCTGAGCCATACTGCTGCCTCTTAGGGAGCAATCACAGAGAGCAGCTTAATAGGTCTGTTAACCCGAGATACTCTTACAAACAGAGAACGAAGAATGCCCTCTGGAGAAGGGCCTGGGCTCAGTTCAATTCGATTCATATCACCAAATGCTTCTTGAGTTCCTTATGTGCCAGGCATAGAGCCAGAAGCCAGGGAAACTGCAGGAAACAAGACAGATCTCTCACAGAACTCCTCGTCTGTCAGGGAGACCGATGATGAAAATGCAAGTTCTTTATAGTGGAGCAAAGTCTGAAATCGTGGAGGTACAGAATGCATGCTATGGGAGCCCAGGGGAGAAGAGCCCAATCCAGATGCAGAGCTGGGGAGACGGGGTCAGGGAAGGCTTATTAGAGGAAGGGGGTTCAGAAGGATGAAGGGCTGGCCAGGCAAGGGCGATGGTAGAGATTCCCATTCCCCTTGCTTGGGGAGAGGAAGTGTTCCAGAGAGAAGAACATTGTAAAAATGTGCAAAGCTCTAGAGGAGAAGGGAAGCCTGGCAAGTTCTAGAAACTGAAGGAAGTTCTGTGTAGCTAGAACTTAGTTTAGAGGGCTCAGAATGAGGCTGAGAAAGGTAAGGACTATGAGGCTGTGCTAGCTATTTTATTTTATTTTTTATTTTTTGAGATGGAATTTTGCTCTTGTTGCCCAGGCTGGAGTGCAATGGCGCGATCTCGGCTCACCATAACCTCCGCCTCTTGGGTTCAAGCAATTCTCCTGCCTCAGCCTCCGGAGTAGCTGGGATTACAGGCATGTGCCATCACGCCTGGCTAATTCTTTTGGTATTTTCAGTAGAGACAGGGTTTCTCCATGTTGGTCAGGCTGGCCTCGAACTCCCAACCTCAGGTGATCCACCCGCCTTGGCCACTCAAAGTGCTGGGATTACAGGTGTGAGCCACTGTGCCTGGCCTAGCGATTTTATAATTTGGGGATCTATGCTAAGAATTCGGTGATGGCTTTAAGTGGTTCTAAGGAAGAAGTGATCTGGTCATTCATCTATGATTTCTTGTTGATTCTCTGCTGAGCACCTTTCAACATGGCTACGTACTGTTTGTCTTTGAAGACCAGCTGAAGTCTCAACTCCAGGACACCTTCCTAAGCCCTGGGTTGGGCTCGGGAAGTTTTCACACCTCTCTCTGCTCTATCACACATTGGCCATGCTATACTGAGATCTTGGTTTAGGCTGTCTACTACCACTAAAGCATAAACTTCCTGAAGGCAGGCAATGGCACAGTGGCTTGTTCAGCTGTTTTCCTAGCAATTTGCATAGTGCAAGTATCAAATAAGCATTTGCTAAATAGTTGGTGAGCTTGATTGACTTCCAGGCAAAAACACACACATAGAAACTCATAGAAAAACATACACCTTTATAATCACAGATGCCCAGACACAGAGAAAACCGTAATGACAGGGGTTGTTTCTTTAGGGATTGTGACGGGCTGCTTTTCTTTCCAATGGTCTCCGCTGACCAGGCTTGGTGGAAACAGCTCTTCAGGGTGAACAAGGATACTGTCCCATCCCTCCCCTCCTTAGGAACAATGTTGTGGGAAGAAGGGGACAATCCTGGGCCTCAGCCTCACCACCCAGCTAGTCTTGCCTTGATGCAGTAAGCTCCAGGCCATCCTATCCCTGGCTAGGGCAGCTCTAGTAAAGGCCAAGTGACACACTTAAGTACATGTGGTGGGACTATAAATGACTTTTCTTTCAAATTTTCTTTGTTATACAAATAGTATATTTTAGATGTAATGTGTTTATTGCTCAAAATTAGAAAAAAGCTAAAAGATGAAAATAAGAGACAACATCTTGGGGTATATTTTTTCAGGCTGTTTTCTATGCAAACAAGGATGTCTTTTAAACTAAATATATTCTCGTGGCAAACTTATTTTTTTTACTTAACAAAGTATTGCAACCACCCCTGTAGGTCTTTAAATATTCTTTCACGTTATTGCTTTTAGCAGCTGCCTAGTATTTTATTCTATGGCCATACCCTATCTTTATTTAACATTTCCTTATTGATGGACATTTTAATAGTTCCTGATTTTTCAGTATAATACGTAAGGTTTCAGGGGAAATCTTTGCAGCTAAATCTTGATGTAGAGTTTTACTTATTTTCTTCAGATAAATTCCAGAAAGTGGAATTGCTGGGTGCAAAGGCAGGTACAGTTGTCCCTCTGTATCTGCAGGGGATTAGCTCCAGGACCACCCTTGGATACCCAAATCTGCAGATTCCTAAGTCCCTTACAATATATTTTCAAGGCTTTTGATTCACATCACCAAGTCACCCTCTGGAACGCTTGAACCATTTCACACAGTGTCAGCAGTCAATAGTATTCCAGGGTCCACATTATCCCCCAGACTGTTACAGTTTTCTTTGATGACTTCAAAAGGGAAATGCTATTTCCCTTTTAAAATTACACTTGTTTCATTATCAATGAGGTCAATGATTTTCCATTTGTATTTCCTCTGTTACGAAGTGTTACTTTATAGCTTTGCTCATTTTGCAGGCTGGTTTGGCTAGGCATATGTCTCTTGAAACTTTTTAAGAACTCTTTGTGTGTCTGGTAGCTAATCCTTAGTCAATCATATGTTGCAAATATTTATTTTTCTATGTAGTATTTGACTTTGAATTTTTATGGAGTTTTCTTTTTCTTTTTTTTTTAACCTAAATCCTTTCAAAGTTTTTTTTGTTTTGTTTTTTTTTTTAATAGCAGTCTTTGCCTTTATGGATTCTACCTTTGTTGTTACTCTTTAAAGTACATGTCCACCTGAGGTTAGAGATTCACTTTCCTCTAGTGCTGGAGTTTATGTGATTAAATGCTTGAAAATGCTTGAGGTATAGATGTTGTTTTTTCTTTTGTTCCAAATGGTTCAACCCACTGTTTTAACACCATTTATTACATAATCCATCCTTTCTTCAATGGATCTGAAATGACACTTTACTCATATACTAAAGTCTCTCTCACACATACATGGGCATGTATGTGCACACATGGAGGGATCTATTTCTGGACAACTATTCTCCACATCTTATTTGTATGTCCACTCTTATACTCATACCACATTGTTAACATTAATTTAGCTCATAATGACGTTTTAATATCCGGAAGGATTAATCTTCCTTTGAAATTTGTTTCTTGGCTCTTCTGCATGTTAATTCTTCTAGATCAGAGGTTCTTAATTAAAAGCATGCATCAAAATTACTGGCAAAGTGTTCTGAAAACATAGATGCCTGGTTTCCACCGCCAACGTAGAAAATCAAAACCTCTAGCCTTGGGCCTAAACATTAGTATATTTGCCAAACTGCAAGAACCATGACTCTGGATGAACTTGGCAACAAGCTTCTGAGGCTAGAAGCCAAATCTGCCTGGTTACTGCCGATGCCCAGCCCCAGTGTCAGCCACATGGGTGGCACTGAATACATATTTGTTGAGAAAAGAGTATTAATATATTAATTAACATTTATTTATAACCAGCACCTTTACTTTGAACTTGGACTCCCAAAGGTCACTCATGTTAGGGGAGCTGAGGCAGCAGTGTAGGCTGGTGACCCATATGAAAGACGGCATCAGAGGAGGAGCTGAGTTATGCAAGAAGGGGATTGCTGTGTTCAATATCTGAAGGGTGAATGTGAAGAAGAGGCAGCAGGTGTATCTGATGCTCCTCCAGGATGCAATACAAGAAAACCATTTTCAGAGACACCTAATAGATTATTAGGAGAAGAAAGCATCTGTGCAAAAATGATAGTAGGTGACCATTTGTTGAATGGGTTGGTGGCCTCCCCACACCAGGCATGTTTAGGCAAAGGGTGAGCTGAGCTGGTGTGTTGCCATCTTGGGGGGAGTGATTTAGAGAAGGTTCCTGTACTGAGTGATATTGGATAGCTGGTAACCTCCAAGATCTCTTCCAGCAGGGAGATTTTAGAATCTCAATGATACTTATTGAACAAGTTCTACCATTCAAAGAGATGAAAAGACTCTGGAGGTTTTCTTGTTGGTGAGAAAAGTTCAGACGAAGCCCAGAGGTCACTATCTAGGGAGAGCCCCATTGAGGTCAACTTGACCTGAGGAACTTGGGTCCCTGACCACTCATATCCCAATGCCTGCTATGGGCCGAAACACTCACCCTTCCCATGAGATGTTTCGATGATCCAGGTGCAGTTCAAGTTGTTAGGGTAGAAGTCAGGGAACCCTGGCGACAAGATGGTCCCACTGGAGCCTTGAATGAAGCCACCACAGAGAGCTATAGAAGGAGTGAAGAGGGCAGTGAAAGACCAGAGGGCCTCAGGGAGCACCCCTGTCATCCTCCTGAGACCCCATCTCCCATCTCTCGAAACCCCAACCCTCGCTGATGGGGTAGGGAGTCAGGGGCCTTTTGAGCACCTGTGTTTCTGTGGCAGGAGAGGAGTCTGATACTTTAGCGCCCCCTCATGGTGTGCCTCACCTTCACAACTGGGCAGGGCCCGGCTCCACTGGAAGTTGGGCTCGCACTCCAGAGGTTCCCCGTCACTTAATGTGTAGCCTGAGTCACAGCTGAAGGTCACCAGCGCGCCCACATAGAAGTCATTCCCATGACGTTGTCCATTTACTGGGATTCCTGGATCCAGACAGTGGTCTGACTGCAGTGTTATAGCTGAAAGAGAGAGGCCACAGCTGGGACAGACGCTCACTGTCACCACAGAGGGACCCCAGTTGACTCCAAAGAGGGGGAAAAGAGCCCTAGTTTATTAAAGGCAGAAGTTGCCAATTACTGACTCATGAAATGTGGCCATCAGTATTTGCTGAGAGTGGCTTAGGTGCTATGGTAAGGCTTCGGAATACAACAGGAGTAAGAAAATGACCTTGTCCTCATGGTGCTCGCAGCCCCAGCTTTCTATATTGGTCTACAGAGAACTGAAGTGACAATGATGCTTTAAATTGAGGGGATGAATGTGGAAGGTGACGAGGAAGGGCAAGTGTGGGTGTGAGATGCCATCTCGGGTTAACTTCATGGTCAGTCAAATGTTCTGACCCCAGAGTGCCCAGCATAGCGACACCCAATCACCTGCACACAGAAGAGGCCATGAGGTCTGCACGCAAGGGCCTGGTATGAAGGTCATGAACAACTCTAAGCTCCCATGACCTGAGGGATGCTGAGAGCAACAGAGTGCCTTCTGCAGGCCTTCTGAAGGGCACAGCCTAGCCAAGAACACCATGGGGACGGGGCCAAGCAGGGGCCTGTGGTGGAGCATAGTCCTGAGGCCTTTGACCCAACTGAGCTGACCTTGTCATCCCTTTTCCTGAGCCCACCCACTGAGACTCACTCTCATAGCGGAGCTGGAAGCCAATGTCTGAGTGACTCTTGTCGGTAGAGAAGAGGAGGTAGAGGTAGTTGCTGGTGCTGATGAGGAACTGGGGAACCTGGGTCCCATGGTAAACCCCGATCAAGGGTGCTGAGTAAGTCCGCCCATCACGTACTTCCAGGGTGTCATAGTTGACCTCGGTTTTGAATCTGCCAAATGACAGAAATGAAGCCTTCTTGAGAAATCCAACCTTATTAATTTGCAAATGACAAAAACCCTGCCTGACCCAGGGCTTCAGAATAACCAGATTTTGGCAGGCTGGGATCTTTTAATATAATTTGCACACATTCACTAGCTATGCAGAAGGACCTTCTCCACTCTATTTAACATCCCTCCTCCTCCTTCCATGGTTGGAAGCTGCTCTCATCCTCTCTGTGGCCTGATCTGTGAGCTAGCTTAAGACCTAGAGGCACAATGACTAGCCTCATGGAGATCAGAACATTCTAGGCCATGGGTCAGCACACACATTCTAGGCCTCAGGGCCAGATCTGGTCTATAGCCTGGAGAGCTAAGGATGGTTTTTACATTTGTAAAGAGATGCTAAAAAAAAAAAAAAAAAAGGCAAAGCAGAACATGCATCAGAGATATGCAAGTAGGCAAGTGGCCCACAAAGCCTAAAATATTTACCATCTGGCTCTTCACACAAAAGTTTGCAGACTGCTATTCCAGGCCAGGAACACTTTGTCCGGAAGAAGTTTGTTTTCACATTTAGGTGGCTATGTTCTCCACCCAAGGGGCATAGCCAGGGTGGGAGCTAGAAGTGGGGCACATGAGCGGGATTTGGGGCAGAGGTCGGGGGCTGCCTTCCCACACTGGACATTTCCAGGAGAATGCTAGTCAGATGTCAGTGTCGTGCTTTAACATCTGACGGTGTCTGTCTGCCCACTCTCCGTCGTTGGGGGCTGGGGAGGGGTGCTCTAACATCCCAAATGGTACCCAAGCCTTCTCTTCACCCCTCCTGCCATAGTCCCCTAAACAGCACAAACCAAGCCCAAGGGCAGAGCTAGTGAGGTCTGCCCCACCCAGGGCAGTCTGGTCCAGTGTTCTCCAACCTTGCTGACATTTCAGCATTGGTACTGGTCCTCTATCCACCCTGGATTCCCTCCCACATGGCTCTGTAAAAATCTCCCCCTTGCCCTCTCCCCCAAGGCTGTGGTCACAAGCACCTGTCGAAGGTGATTTTGATGGGGTAGCCTGGCTGGGCCTCAATCACCCAGGCACAGCTCAAGGCATCCTTGTAGAACCCAGGCCAGCCCGGAGAGAGGATGGTGCCGCTGGGCGAAGTCAGGTGACCACCGCAGGGAGCTGGGGGGACAGAAGGAAGAGAAGTAGCTTTCTTCGGGGATAAATGAGTAAACAAACAGCAAATCTCTCTATAAAATGTGTCAGGCAACAAGTATTGTTTTTGTTTTTATGGAAAATTACATAAACTGTAAACTGTGAGTTTTGTCTACTGGGACCTTTATGGGTAGGTCCAGTTATATCATGTGGAGTGTTATTAAAGGCCAGAGGGGAGAAATGAAAAGAATCCCTTAAGCAGAGTCCCTTTGTCATTCTAGAAGGGCTGAAGTACAGCTAATATTTGGGCCACACTGTGCTTTTCCTTTGTTCCTCACTCAACTGTCAGGCCTGAGACAGGGGCATAGATCCAGCCAACCTCCTCACATCTGGCCCTGGAAAGGGTCAGAACCCCAGGACCCTACAATTCAGATGCTCAGCTCAGGGCGCCGGTACTTCCTGCATCACTGTAAACTCCAGGAGGGCATGGGATGTGTTAATTGTGTTACACAACTGGGTATCCCCAGCATTTAGCATGGTGCTTGGCACGCAGTTCTTCCTCAATGATTGCTGGTTGGATGAATAAATGAGTTAATGACAGGATGAATGAATACAGTCCAAGGCAGGGAATGCCACAGGACACTGGGAGGCCTAGGCACAGCTGCTGGCTGTCTCTGGTCTGGCAAACCCTGTTATTTATGCCTCTGCCCACGTGTCCCATCCTGGGCTTCCCCACTCTCAGCTGCCTCTTTCCTACCACCCCTGTCTCTTCCTGCAACCAGACCCCCAGCCCCTAAGATAGTCATTAGAGCTATTCCTCTTTCAAGGGCACGTGATTGGATTTCATTGCCCACCCCTTTTGAAGTTATGCAAGGCCATGTGACTGCTGTGACCAATAAAATGAGAGCAGAAGTGCTGCACGTCATGTCTCTGTGGAAACTTTACAAGACTGTGTGCTTTCCTCTGTTTCTCTGGTGGACACGTGAGACCTTGGAAGTGGGGAGGGGCGTGCCTACTGCTACATCCCATTGTTACAATACAGGTTTGCATCTCAGCAGTGAGGAGGGACTCTTTCTTGGCTCCATCTCAGCACAGGCCCAGCCTCTCTGCTTGTGTGACTTGCACAGTTTCCTTTTCCTGCCTTGGTAATTGTGGAAGCAAGTGTCAAGAGGGAAGTCCCATCTATCTAGGCCCCTAAGTGACTCTAAGGAGCAGATATCCCTGATGACCCATGTTAAATATGTAGCTTCAGTGGTCTGTGTCAGATATAAGCTCCTGATTTTTAAGCTGCTGGGATGTGGAGGTTGAAAGTTAACACCATGTGGCCTAGCCCACTCAGACTAGCACACCTCCCTAAGGCTGATGATGAGGATGATGATGACATCCACTACTACTGCTTCTGTCACTGCCATCACCACTGCCATTGACTGGGGGCTGACTCCACATCAGGCACTGAGCTTACATATGTAATCATGTTCACTCTTTGCAAAACAAAATCCCCTGTGAGGCTGGTGCTATTATTACCTCCTAGGAAAGCTGAGGCTTATGGAGGTTGAGTAACTAGCCTTGGGTTAGCAAGTTGCAGAGCTTGGATTCAGACCTAGGCAAGACAGTGTAAATCCAAAGATCTTAAGCTAAGCCGCTTCCCATGTCAAAGGAACCTCTGCTCCTTTGTACTCTCTTACTATGGAGCTATCAGATGCCAAAAATTCCCCAAACAAGACTGGGGAGGAATAAAGAGCTACACAGCACTTCTCTCTCTGCAAAGTTTTGTAGATTTCTACAGGTAATCAGTTTCATAAAGATAGTCTAATATACCCCATCTTCTTTTTTTAATGCTATAATCTTCGAGAATTATCTAAAATAGTTGTCAAGTATTCTTAATAGAAACTTATATTAGGAAGTATTAACAAAGAAGATTATAATAAGGGTAGTAGTAGTCAACTCTTACTGATGACTTACTATGCTAATTGCTACACGTGTTATCTCATTTAAATGCATACATTTATGAAGTTATTATCCCTATTTTATAGAGAAGAAAACTAAGGCCAAGTAGGTTAAGAGACTAGATCAAGGACAGAGAGCTAATGAAATTAGAGCTGAGATTGAATCTCAAGACTTCTGTCTCTAAATCCCCCTGTGACACATAATAGTGCTACAACCACAGCCGACAGTAATAAGCTCATGTGTACCGATAACTTACTACGTGTCAGGGCTTAATGTGGATTATTCTTGTGACAACAGCCACGCTAAATGGCACATACTATTATTAACCTCATTTTATAGGCGGGGATTATTACCCCATTTTCAGTAAATTGAGGCTTAGAGAAACCAAATAATTACATAGAGCTATATCAAACATTGGGAGAGTAAATTGTATATGTGTATTGTCACTTTCTGGGTAACCCGTTTTCAAAACCCATCCATCCATCTCACTGCAACTACTAATGCTTTCCTCTCCTTCTCTGGTGAACAGGTGAGACCTTGGAGGTGGGGAGGGATGTGCCTATTGCTATATCCCATTGTTACAATACAGGTTTGCATCTCAGCAGTGAGAAGGGACTCTTTCTTGGCTCCATCTCAGCACAGGCCCAGCCTCTCTGGTTGTTGGACTGTGATCTCCTCATTTACTTCCTGGGGAGCTATAGATCATGCAGTCTCCATTGCTTGTCTAGGCCACTCTCCACTCAGTGCATACACATCAATGAAACCCCATCTGCAATCTCCAGAGAGGGAAATTCAATCCCTTCCTTTGGCGGTCACCACTTTGTTTTCTTTCTCTGCTGTGTTGCTTCATTAGTTTGGCTAGTTAATCTCTTCCTGTGCACCTGTGATTGTCCAGTGACCTCTCTATTCATTCTGTCCTCCACTTTCTCTGTTGTTCATCTTCATATTGCAGAGTGGTAGTTGCCTGGAAGGGATTTGGAGGGGAGGATTCTTAAATGCAATGTCTCTTTCACATTTGAAAAGATGATCAACCTCACTCTTAAAAAGAAAAATACATATTAAAAGCACAGTGAGATATTATTTCTCATCCATCAGATAGGCAAAATCCAAAGTTTAATGACAAATGAGGCCGTGAGAAACTAAGGATTCTAGTACCTTGCTGGTGAACGTGTAATACGGTACAACTGCTATGCAGAGGAATTTGATAATATCCAACAAAATGCATATGCATTTACTCTCTGACCCAGCAATTCTATTTCTAGAACTCTCCCAAAGATACACTGGCAAAAATATGAAATGACATATGTGTACAAGGTTATGCAAGGTGGTACTATTTGTGATAGCAAATGCATGGAAACAGCCCAAATGTTCAGTGGTACAGATCTAACTGAATAAACTAGGGTAATCAACAAAATGGACTATTTATGCAGCTATAAAACAAGAATGAGGGATATTCTATATAATGTCATGGAGTGGTTCCCAGACTATGTTGTTAAGTGAATAAAAGCATGGTAGAGAATAATAGGTATAGTATGATTATCTTTATCTAAGAAAGAGGTAGAGGCATACACACATATTCACTCATTAACAATCAATGAAAGGGTAAACCGAAAACTAAAAAGATTATTCACGGAAGGATGGAGGGAACAGGGTAGAGAAGACAGGGATAGAAGCTAGGCTTTCTCAGAATATACTTTTTTATATATTTAACTTTAGAACTATAAATATTTTAAATAATTAAAATGAAAGACTAAGCAAATCAATAAACTGATAAGCAATTTCTAAAATCTCAGAAGCAGAGTAAATACATGAATGCAATACTAGGTTAGTTGGTGGCATAATCCCACATGAAGAAACTAGTAAAAGAGATTTTAAAACACAGTAATTTGATAGCCTACCTTAGTAGGATACAGAAAGAAATGAAAAAAAAAAAAAAACCCTTAAACTATTTTCAGTAATTATATGATTGTTGGTAGTTACTGGTATTACTACTTTGCGACTCTTAGGCATGTGCTATGAATTGGGAAATTATATTAATGGTGTTGGGGACTGGGATTTTCAGCAAGAGTGAAAGGAGATATGGATATGATATTAAAGAAGTTAAGTAAAAAAGAAAAAGTGTTTTTACATTGGAAATGAAATAAACCTATGATGAATTTTCTTTTAAAAACGACTTTCTAGCTGTGTTCATTGAAAAGGCTTAGAAACAGGAACCAAGTCAATAATAAAAAGTACCCCTACTGCCCACATTTTAAATATCAGTTTCCACTAAAAGGAACCAGGGCTTCTAGGAGAAATAACTGATTCTAGGTCAGAGACAGAAAACGTCCAAGATGATGTTAGGCCAACTTCAAAAGGCTCCCACTAGCGAGTGACACAATTTGAGCATTAATTAGAACAAACTGCAGTGGATTTAAATACATAAATATGTTTGGATTGTAATGATATTTAAAAATGTGTAACTTTGTAAGGTGTTAGGGAATCAACTCATTAATATGAAAACAGGTAAATGCAAATAATTATTTCCTTGCTTTTCCTTTACAAACTACATCTCAGAGTAACCAAATAGTTGATGAAGACAAATTTTCTTTAAGTATAGCATTTCAGCTTATGAAAAAATAAATGATAGCATGTTACCATTTTGTAATCCCTAGGCTCTGATCATTAATGGTTCCTAAAGACCCCAACAGAGAGATACCCAAATATTATATGATTCTGTTGGAGACATTGCCTACAAGATATTCTGGCTAAAAAAATGGAAGCTCAATCTGATTAAGTTTCTAGATCTTACTGCCAATTAAAGGAAACATAAAAGAGAGACAATCATGTTAAACAACCTCCCTGGGAAGCAACTGGCAAAATTCCGAATGCAGGAGACTTCTCATTCTGAATAATTCTCATTTATCTCTGGATAAAAGACCCAACTTCTGCAACAACAAAAAAAATCTCAAGGGGGTGGGGAGTAGACATCTATAGATTAGAAAAGACTTGAGACATATCAGCCAATTATAATGTATGAAGCTAACAAGGATACTGACTTAAAAATACTATCAAAGAACGTATTAGCCAATCATGAAAAT